TTGCTGGCTGCACTGGTCTGATGGCACTGGGACTGGTGTGGGCAGCAATCAGAAACACTGTTGCTGGCTTACACTGATCTAGTCTGTCACTAGCGATCAAGGACACTCTGGATAGCTTACATTGATCTGGAGACTTTGGGACTGGTGGGCTAGTGAAGTGATCAGAACACTGTTACTAACTTACACTGATCTGGTAATACTGAGACTGGTGTGGCTGTGCTGGGTACACTGGTCTCGGGACACTGGCACATTTTATAGACTGCAGGATGACACAGTTCTTTACTGTTGCAATTTCTTGTGTCATCTGCCTGCTCATTGAACTCTAAATCCCCTGTCTGCAAATTGGAATATGATTCACTGGCCTTATCATTGGGCTATGATGTGATTAGATTACTGAACTGTTCTCCCTTGTAAGCTTTTTACATGTAGGCTTGACAATACTGTGCAAAGGCATAGAGGACACTGATGTAAAATGGGACTTTGGAGTCAGAGTTATAAGGGGGGAAAGCTGGGGAGTGTGATGTAAAGGAGTACTTTGACGTGAATGTGGTGCTCATCCTGACTGCTGCCCACCATATGTTGTTTTGATTTTTACTTACTCCTGACCCCTGCACTCAATACCGTATGCTGTACATAGACCTGACCAAGATGTTTATTGTCCCAGCAGTTGCTGGTTTTAATGAAGGTTAAAAGAAAAAATAAGAGCCAATTCCCTCATCCACATATTCATGCTGCTAATCAGTGTATTCTGAGAGCAGAGGAGTCACACTGTTAAATTGGTCATAGATGAGTCAACGGTTGACCAGAAAACAAATTGACCTGATTTGAGTGTGTGTGGATGGTGGAATTCTCCCTGTTGAGCCTTTGGATTCTGAGATTGAATAGACTCCCCAGGCCATCAAAATACACTGATCAGCATTGCTGGCTATAGCCTGCATCACTGATAAAGCAGGGAAAATCCGATTGGCAGATTGACTTCTGTACAATCTCCCTGCGCATACATAGGTCAAAATATGGCCAGTCCCTGCTGAATTTCTATCCATGTATGGCAGAGTACAATAACAGAGTGGGGAGGATTTCTTCATCCACCTTGCCTTTGTGGACGGGGAAATATGTTTGGTGTTTTTGATCAGCCCACTGGCTGATCAGAAAAAAAAAAAAATGAACTGTGTATGGTGAGCCTTAGGCTGGCCATACATGATACAATTTTCTTGAGATTTTTGGTTTAGATTTACCAAAAACCATATAATATGAGATCAAACCTAACAACACTTTCAATTGTATCCAATTAGGCAGGCTCTTGCACTACATAGTTGAAGGTAAATCTAAAGGAAATTGGGCAGAAATTGGACAGAAAATTGTATACTGTATGGCCATCCTTACACTTGAATTCCATGTATGTTATGTGTTCCATATGTCTGATCAGCTATGTAGTTTACAACCGTTTTAATGTAGTTCATTTGCTCAGACAAGGTGTTAGCTCTCTGTCTTTTTTGTTTATGTTTATGCATCTGTGAGGAGGCATTAATATCTCTTCATCGCCTGTTTTAAACACTATAAACCTGCACCACTGCACCACATTTGATAGGCACTACTACTGAGGGGTGGTACAAATGCAGCTCAGCTGTGAGCTGAACCCCTGCAAAAAAACAAAAATATACAGTATCTGCGGCCCTGCTTCTAGTTCACAACAGGAAGTTTGTAAAAATCACTCAAAAATGAGGGTAAATCTTTTCTTAGACAGTTATCATTGAAACGTGTCATCATTGAAAGATGTGACCCTCACCTCCTGTTCCAATGACAATTACTAAATGGTGACTAGGAGAAATGTAGAGGGCAAATCCTTCCAGCAAAGACACAGACAATAAAAATCTGGGAAGTAAATGAAAGGTAAAGCAGTAGGGGTTTAAGGCTAGCCATACATTATACAATTTTTAGATTTACAAAAAAATATATAATATGAGGTCAAACCTAACAACACTTTCAATTTGATCTAATTAGACAGGCCCTTGCACTATATAGTGGAAGGTAAATTCAAAGGAAATTGGGCAGAAAACTGTTAGAAAATTGTATAGTGTATGGCCAGCCTAAGTTCAGTCTTAAGCAGTATAAGGCTGGCCATACATTATACAATTTTCTTGAGAATTTTGCTTTAGATTTACCAAAAAACATATAATATGAGGTCAAACCCATACAACATTTTCAATTGTATCCAATTAAGCAGGCCCTTGCACTACATAGTTGAAGGTAAATCTAAAGGAAATTGGGTAGAAATTGTAAGAAAATTGTATAGTGTATGTCCAGCTTTAGGCAGTGCTTTCAGGAGTGGTGGCTGGAGGTTGGCTCGTTGCTGGAGTAAAGGCTGGTCATACATTATACAATGTTCTTGAGAATTTTGCTTTAGATTGACCAAAAACCATATACTATCAGGTCAAACCTAAACGATATTTTCAATTGTATCAAATTAAGCAGGCCCTTGCACTACATAGTTGAAGGTAAATCTAAAGGAAATTGGGCAAAAAATTGTAAGAAAATTGTATAGTGTATGGCTAGCCAAAAGTATTTAAGGTAATTACCTCGCTACTATTTACAATAAACTATTGGTGGTAAAATAAAAAATTGTAAGTAAAAGGCTGTCTGCCAAGCACTGTTATGTGTTCTCACACACCCCCCTCCCCCCCCAAAAAAAAATCCCCCAAAAAGTGTAGTGCTACCTTACTAATCAATAACTTATCAACAAGGGTGGTACCCTCTGATGTATGGTATTCTCAATGAACATCACTTTTACCACAATACCAGTCACTGTGATATGTAACTTCACATATAATACACATTATAAAGACACAAACTGAAAATAAAACATAAAAATTAAACTGAATTATCTACAGGAGGGATTTCCACCATCCCTGCTAAGTTTCATTTTGTATGTTTTATTTTCAGTTTGATGTGTATTATATGTGAAGTTACATACCACAGAGACTGGAATTGTTGTAAATACTGAAGTTCATTGAGAATACCATACATTAGAGGGTACCACCATTATTGTTCAGTTAGTTATTAGTAAGGTAGTGCTGTACTTTTTTGTTTTTTTCTTTGCTGGAGTAGAGACTGGGTGTGCAAGGAGAAAAATGCCAAAAAAAAACAGAATGTATTAAGGCCAGATATTATTTCTTTAAGACTCTAGTTGTAAAAATAAAGAAGCCAATAAAATTACGATTGCAAAGTGAACATACTGTACATATGAGCCCTCAGGATGCCTCCAATTTTAACAGGTCAGTACACACTTCCGTCGGCAGTACCAAGCCCTGATGAAGGAGGGCCTTTTGAATCCCTGAAACATGTTGGCTATTAATGATCTGAGTAAAATTAAATCTGGACTTTATACAGTATGTTCTGCTTTTTGCACTTTCCTCCTTGTATGCTCAGCAATAAAAATCTGACAGGGATTCTAATCCTAAACATATTACTCAAAATAATATAAACGTGAAAAAACCATGTGCTTCAAACAGTGCAACAAACATATAAATATATAAAAATATTCAATCATGAATTCTTATTCTTGTTGCCGTGCAACACAATAATTGGCACTAGCAAGATTTGAAGCACAAAGTGGACTTTATAAGAATTCATGATTGTATATTTTTATATATTTATATGTTTGTTGCACAAGATATTGCACTGTTTGTAGCACATGGTTTTTTCACGTTTATATTATTTTGAGTAATATGTTTATGATTGATTTAATATATATTGTGGAGCGCGACACATTTAGATATAATTTTGATTTAATTTGTCACACAGATTATGAGTATGTGTTTAGTGTTGATGCATCACAATTTTATTGATTATTGATATTTGTTAAATTTCACATGTTATAAGATCGTTGCACAGAGAGAATATCACATTTTAGCTCACGAGTATCACTTTTATTAGGGATTCTAATCCTTCCCCACTCCATATAAAACTAGGGATAAGGTATACACTATATATAAAACATATATAATGTACTTGTATAAAGTATAAATTATGTCCAGCCAAACCTTTTTTTTGGTTTTGGGTAGAGTAGGGAATAGTTGCTATCTGGGGTTCTATTGAAGAGTAATACAGAGCTTGAGCTTGTTCCTGACATTGACCTAACATGGCCATGTATTCATATTAGGTCGATAATTCTGACCCCTTTGTATACCTGCAGCTTGCAGGAAATGAGAGCTTCCTTTCGGATTCATTCAAACGTGCTTGGATCGAATCCAAACTCATCCCTACTGGAGAGATTTATTCTCACTTCCTGTCCTGCTAAAAATGTTTTACTAAACAACAAATAAGGGGAACTCAATAAAAATGCTTTTGTATAGCAGAGTAGGATAAGACTATAACTCTTGTCTGTGTCCTTATTGCAGAATTGTCCTCACTTTCTGTCTGGTGAATCTGTTGTCATCAGGACATGAAGTGAGGATCATCCTCTCATATAGAGCCCTGGATAACAGTAAAAACACAAATAAAGGTTGAATCCTCTTCCACTCTATCCAAACCTAAAAAAATACATTTCAGCTTTAGATATATTTTAATTGACTTAACATGCTAGTTATAGCAACATAGCAAACAAACAAAGGATTTCCCAGCAACACTTACCAGCCAGCCTGCAAAACAACCAATTTGGCCCTGTCTAACAGTTTGCATTAAAAACAGAGGGTTTTGTTTGCACATATTTGCAAATAAATGTGGAAGTCACAGTCCCGTGTCAAGGGTCCTCTGTATATAAGGTTGCCACCTCTTCCCTTTAAAACCGAACACATATTAATTACACAGATACTGTGGCTGATTAAGGTGGTAATTAAAATCACTTTTGTGCATTATCTGCGTTAAATTTGCCTCAGAACCTATGTAATTAATATGTGTTCGGTTTTCAAGGGATGAGGTGGCAACCCTACCTGTATACTGTGGACCTAAATCTAAACTTTCAAGAGCCTCCATAGTAGGAGCACATATATCAATGGATAGGTTAAGGCAGGCCTTGAAATTTCCACTCGCCTGCTCGCCAATGGCGAGTGGAAATTATGGTGGGCGCGAGTGTGTCCCCCAGGGCCGTCTTGCTGAGCAGGCTCGGAGCTCAGACCGGATCTGTCATTTGCACTGGAAGCCATCAGACTGCTCAATAGCTGAGCACAGTGAAAGCAAAGGAAGGAGTGTGTGCTGTGCTCTCTGCCTCCCCCTGGCTCTGTACCTGGCTCTGTGAGTGAACAACAAAGTACCAACTTTTTATAGGTGTGTGTGTGTCTACTTAATTGCAGCTCACTCTGGTCACATGATCCTCTATGTCAGCCAGTGGTGGCTTCAGGGGAAAGGAGAGAGCACTTAACAGCGTGCGTGTACATATGTGTGTGTTTGTGTGTGTCTATGTACATGTGTGTATCTGTACATGTGTCTGTACATGTGTCTGCGTATATGTACATGTATGTGTGTGTGTGTACATGTGTCTGTGTGTGTGTGTGCATGTACATGTGTGTGTATGTACGTACATGTGTACTGTGTGTACATGTGTCTGTGTATGTATGTACATGTGTCTGTGTATGTATGTACATGTGCGTGTGTATGTACATGTATCTGTTTCAGCGTGTCTGCACGTGCCTGTGTGTGTATACATGTGTCTGTATGTGTGTGTGTACATGTGTCTCTGTGCATGTGTGTACATGTTTCTGTGTGTGTGTGTATGTACATGTCTGTGTGTGTACAGGTGTCTCTGTTTGTGTGTGTTTGTTGGTGGCCAGTAACTCTTAAGGCCTGGCTAGTAGCTCAGGACTTGAAATTTTAAGCCCTGGGTTAAGGGCAGGTGTGCCTGGAGGAACCCATCCCTCCTTAAAGGTTGGTTGTTTTGCAGGCTGTCTGGTAAGTGTTGCTTGGAAATCCTTTGTTTGCTTGGGATGTGTATTGCCACACTGGATGCCTTTGCTATCATTTTGGTATAGCTGAGCATCACATGTGTCCCTGTACCTTTATGGAGGGATGGGCTCATCTAGGCACACCTGCCTTCAACCTATCCATTGATACATGTGCTCCTACTATGGAGGCTCTTGACATTTTAGAGTTAAGTCCACAGTATACAGAGGACCCTTGACGCGAGTTCCTATGCATGTATTTGCAAATGTCCTTCAAACAAAACCCGCTGCTTTTAGCGCAAACTTTTAGACAGGGCCAAATGGGTTGTTTTGCTGGCTGGCTGGTAAGTGTTGCTTGGAAATCCTTTATTTGTTTTCGATGTGCATTGCCCTTCCATATGCACCTTACTAGTAATCTGGTTATAGGTTTGGATGGTTGCCTTATTCTATGCAGTTAGTTGTAGCAAACAAGAGGCAGTACAAGCCTGCCAATGATGTAATCTCTGTAATTTATATAACTGAAAAACAGACTATTGGTTTTTTTTTTGCAAACAGACTTACACTTAAAAGTCTTTTCGCAACCACTGAAGCACCATAAACACCATATTAAAACAGCTCTAGGACAAACAAGTGTAATTTAGGAGCTGTTTAAAATGGTTCTTGGGAAAAAAATAGTTAATAAACCTTATTGCTTGATAACTCGAATTGCTAATCAGCCATTTACATGGCAGCAACCCGATGCATTTAGACATCTAGACGTGGTGAAGACGACTTGCTGAAGTTCAAGCCGAGCATCAGAATGGGGAAGAAAGGGGATTTAAGTGACTTTGAACGTGACATAGAATTGTGGGTGCCAGACAGGCAGTTCTGAGTATTTCAAAACTGCCGATCTACTGGGATTTTAATGCACAACCATCTCTGTAGAAATCGAGGCTCATCAGACCAGAAAACAGTTTTCTAATCATCTATTATCTAATATTGGTGAGGCTATGCAAATTCTAATGTCCGTTTCCTGTCCTTAGCTGGCAGGAGTGGCACCTAGTGTAGTCTTCTGCTTCTGTAGCCCATCTGCTTCAAGGTTCAACGTGTTGTGCGCAGTGGTGTATTTAGGTTTTATGCTACCCTAGGCAACACAAAAATCAGCCCCCCCCTCCCACGGAGAGAGCCTGACACCAACCACAACCACCTCCCCCCTCCATTCCCTCCCCTCTGACCCCCCACCCGAGAGAGCCTTCCACTACCACCACCCTCCATACACCAGCCACCCCACCCCCCAGCAAAAGAAAGACACTCACCTTCACAGTTCCAGACATCCCCTAGAATGAGAGTCTCTGAGGCTCTTCATACACCTTCAAGCAGCCTGCAGCCTCTCTCAGATCCCACCTGGTCCCCATGCCGCATGGGTCCCTTCTTCTGTTCCTCCTTCCGGGGAGTGGTGCTGCCCCCCCCCTGAAAAATGGCACCCTAGGCAAATGCATTGTTTGCCTTGTGGTAAAAATACACCTCTGGTTGTGCGTTCAGAGATGGTATTCTGCATACCATGGTTGTAATGAGTGGTTATTTGACTTACTGTTGCCTTTCTATAATCTCAAACCAGTCTGCCCATTCTCCTCTGACCCTTGGCATCAACAAGGCATTTTTGTCCACACAGCTGCAGCTCACTGGATATTTTCTCTTTTTCGAACCATTCTCTGTAAACCCTAGATATGGTTGTGCATGAAAATCCCAGTAGATCAGCAGTTTTTTACATACACCAACAACCATGCCACATTCAAAGTCACTTAAATTCCCTTTCTTCCCCATTTTGATGCTTGGCTTGAACTTAAGCAAGTCGTCTTCACCACATTTAGATGCCTAAATGCATTGAGTTGCTGCCATGTGATTGGCTGATTAGCAATTTGTGTTACCAAGCAATTGAAGAAGTGTACCTAAAATAGTGGACAGGGAGTTTATATGTACTTTGTACTATGTATATGTACTTTGAAGAAACCTTAGGCCTCATGCACATGGATGTTTATTAGCAAAAAATCCCTGGCACTTTCCTTCACCTGGGGTGCTCCAGGAGCTGCATTCACCTGCCAGTACATGTGAATTGCTGTGTAAATGCCAATCATTTCTGCACCAGCACTTAGCCAAGCACACCTCATATTTTCCCAGCATAAAAATGGCACATTTGGGGATATACGCCATATGCACATGCATGGGAAACACTGACATAGAAGTGATGTTTGCAGCTCCCCGGACGTGGGGAAGTGCAGAGGACTTTTAAGCTAAAAACGCCAGTGTTCATAAGACTATACAGTAAAAATCAATCAAATAAAACAAAGGGCTATCATGGACTCTAAAAGGGCAGATACCAGGGATAGCAAAGTCTAACCCTAAATTGTTTCAGTCAGTAAGTGACTATATATTAGAATGACAATAACTGTCCTGTATCTGCTGTCCATAAAATTCAATTTTTTTTGGGACAGAGAGAAGGGGAGGGGAGGGAGAGAGAGAAAGGGAGAGAGAGAGAAAGGGAGGGAGAGAGGAGGGAGAGAGAAAGGGAGAGAAAGGGGAGGGAGAGAGGGGGAGAGAGTAAGGGAGGGGGAGGGAGAGAGAGAGAGAGAGAGAGAGGGGGGGGGAGGGGGAGAGAAAGGGGGAGAGAGAGGGGGAGAGTAAGGAGAGGGGAGGGGGAGGGAGAAAGAGGAGAGAGAGAGAGGGGGGGGAGAGAAGGAGAGAGTGATATAGAGAAAGGGAGAGAGGGAGAGAGGGGGGGGGAGAGCAAGAGGGAGGAGGGAGAGAGGGGGAAGAGAGAGTAAGAGAGGAGAGAGAGAGAGGAGAGAGAGAGAGAGGGGGGGGGAGAGAAAATAGGAGAAAGACAGATAGAGAGGGGGGAAGGAGAGAGGGAGAAAGAGAGGAGGAAAGGGAGGGAGAGAAAGGAGAAAGGGAGGGAGAGGGAAAGGGAGAGAGGGAGGGAGAGAGAGAGGGGGGGGGAGGGGAGAGAGAGAGGGGGGGAGATAGATAGATAGAGAGGGGGAAGGAGAGAGGAGGAAAGGAAGAAAGAGGAGGAGAGAGTGAGAAAGGGAGGGAGAGGGAAAGGGGGGAGAGAGAGATCCCAGGTTGCAGAATATGAACGGCATTTCCATCCTTCCTCCTGCTGCCAGAAAAAACGGCTGCCTCAGAAAGCCGGCACATATCTCATGAATGGTACAGTGCTAATAGCCACATTTCATTCCATAAATGCAGAGAAAAGCCCCTCTTGCCAAGGTATAAGACAGAAGTATACTTATCAGTCCATAGTACATAGACACATTATAGATGCCTCTGATGTAGCAGGGGGTCTGGCAAAACCGGTCAGGCAGGGTCTTTGGTCACACCTGGATCTATGCTGAGATATGTGCCGGCTTTCTGCACCTGCATTATTGATGCTCACCTGCATGGAAGCATACCAGCTTCAAGCGGCTTTGTGTATGAGGAAGATATTTGTCTATACATATATGAAAGTGGATTTACATTCATAGTCAGTCTTCACATTTGTATTGTCCCCCTATGGATTACATCCTGACAGGGACACTCTACAACCATACACATGCATTAAGGATGGCTCAATGCGATTGATCTAGTGAAATCACTATTTTGTCACTTCTATGTCCATCAGTCTATTTTGCTTGACCTCCACTACATTTTGGATCTCTATGGCTTGTCAAGCATATCTTCACCCAAAATGTGCAATGGCCAGAGAAGAATATATCAATATAGCAGCTGCATTTTAAGTGGCAACTCAATATTTCTGCTGGTCTTACTCTCTATGTCTGTCCCTCTTCTCTGAGATCTCTCAGTCCAATCAATAATTATATTCATAGAATGTAATTACCAATGATTTATATGGATATTATATGGATAACATTTGAGTAATTGGATCCATGGTTACCACCTCTGACCCATAATTTTCTTTTATATTGGGTTAATGTTACTGTGTTTATGTCTCATTTTAATTAATAAAGGTTTTCTTTTGCTGTCCACGTTCTCTGTCAATATTTAATCACAGATGTGATTCATTTTTTCAGATACTTTGGGTTTGAGATGTTGAGCAAAAGCCATTTTTTATTTGTAGAGTATTTTGAGTTTGAATTTTGTGGTAAGCTCTCCTCCCCTCAGTCATATATATTCTAAGATATTAGCCTGGTAGGATCATATTTCTTTTAATTTTTTTTTATGTAATTCATATAGACAAAGCATGCCAGTGCTGCACTGGCTATGGAGAAGGATTACAGTACGGGTTATGTCCGCACTATGGGAAGATGCTGGGGGTGGGTAATGAAATGTTTATTTCTCATCCATACCTCATATAATGGGCTGAAATTCGGATAAAATTGAGAATATAAAACCCACCCTGACAAAGTACATGAATGTAGAAGATCTTTTATGGCACTATACAGTAACATTTACCATAGCTTTGTTATTTTCAGGCACGCTTTAGGGCATAGATTTTACCTTGTGTTACTACAACACGGGTAACTCCAACTACTGCATATCTCAGTATTTATGTAATTGCTGCTTTAGGCTCGGCTCACACTACTGCAACCTGAAAGTCGTGTGACTTACAGTATGACTTTGCTAGGTGACTTCCTGACGATTTTCTGGTGACTTGAGTACGACTTGATACACGACTTTGCCATG